GCATGTGTCCTTGTGTCTCAAAGTTCAAGAGCTAAATACTCAAGCCACACAGAAACATTCCCAAGAAGAAATAGTTAAATAAGCACATAAAAAAACAATCAATCTCATCAGTAAATTATGTGTGCATATATGGTGAAACATGTATTCATAAACTATAAAACAATAATATCTAATGATGAGATAAATGGTGACGTTTATATTTCCATACATACATAGATAGTACCATCATAAACTAAGTGGTTTCATACTTTGGAAAATCATATGGTAACATTTAAAATGCTTTGACCAGCTAATCCTTTTCTTAGAAATTTCTTCTATGTCAAAAGAAAACAGTATTTATCTACATATTTTAAAATGTTAACTGATGCAAGAGTACCACTGAATGAAATTACAAACATAAACATGAAGGTGGTGTAGCAACATGGGAAATGTCACATGTAGTAGGAAAAAAGCAGAAAAAGTATCCGTGTATAATGAAAGTATATACTGAAAAGTATGCCTGCATATGGATGGACACTGGAAAAATCAAACAGTTGTGCTCAGGTGGAGGGATAAAGTGGGAGGCTTTTGTCTTTTCCAGGTTTCCTTTAAGGCTTTATAATTCTTTTGTGTTTTATCTCCCTTTTCCTCTAAACTCTGTCCGGAGACCGACGCCTCTCACTCTCAGAGAAGGACAGGGAGCTGTGCCCTGCCTCGACCACTACTCTGGCTCCTGCCATCTGATTTGGTTCCTAAATTATGTGGCTGTTTCTTCAGACTGCAGCTCTGAAAATAAACTGGATGGTGTGCTTGTGAGATCAGATGCAAACAAGCTCCAGCAAATACTTGATTAGAGCAAACACATTAAACTGTGTGCTGGGGCCAAGGAATTTCACATTTGGACACGAAATGTCAGGCCCCACAAAAGGCCTTCTGAGGCCCCAGGAGTGAGCTCAGACTGGCTGCCCTCCCCTGAGGTTGCTTGCTTTGGCACACGGACACTCCCTGTGCACGGCCCCTGTGGAGTGGGGCTCATTGTACCCCCATCTCCCAAGGCCTGTGGCCACCTCTCAGACTGTTCTGGGTCTCATGCCCCTTTGGGAATCTGATAAATGCTCAGGCTCTGCAAACCATTTTGAGGGGTTTATAGATCTACACGGTGAAAGTTCATTCAACATTCACTCATTTGTGCACTAAAACGAGCATGGTCTATTATGGACGAGGCCATTAGGGTAAATATTAATACAATGGGAAAACACAGTCCCTGCCCTAAAGGAGGTCACAGTCTCAGGGGAGACAGAAAACAAGAGAATACAACTTCCAATGAATTGAGGTTGGGTTAGTCCAGGTATAAAAGTGTGCCAATATCCAAAGCTAATATTTATTGAGCACTTACTAGATGCCAGGCATGTTTCTAGGCCCTCTCCACAGAGTATGTAACTCACTATGGATTATGTTTAATTCACTTAATCTTCCAGCAACCTTAGAGATAGGTAATAGTATTGTGCTCATGTTACAGATTAGGAAACAGAGGCATAGGAAAGGTTCCATAACTTGTTCAAGGCTGTTCAGCAAAGGAGTCCGAGACCTGGGACTCTGATCAGACCTGTCCATGCTAGCGCTCAGCCTGCTAATGGCTTAGCCAGGGGCTGGAGGGAAGGAGCTGACCAGCAAGTGGGAGGAGGCCCCCAGGCCTCCTGGGTTCTTCGTGTGAATTGGCGTGTCGGTGTTCTGGGTTGTGCCTGTGTTCCGTGAGCTGGGTAACAGCACGAGTCTCCCAGGGGGAAGTAGCCCTCATGTGGGTTGACCCCTCCAGGTCTGAGAGACAGGGCTGAGGATCAGACTCGAGACGCCGGAAATTGTTTCGCTTAGGGCCATGCCACTTGCACCCATGTAGACAGCCTCTACCAGGGTCACCTGACCTCCCTCAAATGCCCCTTCCCTTCAACAGCAAAGGGTGACAGAGACGCTCTCCAGGATTGATTCACCAAGTCCACACACACTGGATGAGGTCAGACAAATGCAGAACCACATTAAGAGACAGAATGTCTGTTAGGCTGAACCAAGAAGAAAGAGACAGTAGAGGTCAGGGTTAAAAGCATTGGCCTGGGTTTGATTTCTTGCTATGTGACTTTGGGTACTTCTTGATCTCAGTTTTTCCTCTGTAAGATGGGGATAATAACTGTACCTACTTTATGGGGATGTTATGAAGATTAAGTGAGTTAATACATGTGTGTAGACGAATAGGGGACACATAGTAAGTGCCAATGAATGTCAGCTACTATTGATTATAGACTGAATGATCTATTAACATACCCTATATTCAGATAAATACAAATGCCATCTATTTATCTATTTCTCTGTCTACTAATAGTTATATATGCATTTAAAAGACTGGAAGGAAACGCACTAACATATTAATAGCAGTAATCTTGGCATAGTAAGGTTGTGAGTGATTTTTATTTTTTTCTTTATACTTCTCCTCACCCCACCCCAACATTTGCAACAGACAACATGTTTTTCTTTTGTAATAAGAATCAATAAATGATTCTTTAAAATCAAATCAGCAGAAGTAGC